GGTTCATACTGAATCTCAAATGTGTCTAAATGTTCCTTCATTCCCCTGAACAGCATAAACTAGACTGAATTTCCATATTATCTGCTCATATGCCTCATATGACTCCAGCTAGAGCAAGACTCTGAAGACAATATTTGGCAATGAGATTTCAAGCTCTTTGAGCATAACCAGCTCTCTCTATGGAGAGCCTATGTTAGCTACTTTACACTTTACACATGGTGGGTGCTAAATAAATATGTGTTAAGTAAATGAATAATAACAAAAGAAGTTATTGCAAGATTTTCAACTTAATTCAAGTGAAGGATCGTGTCAGAAATAATACGAATTAGTGAGAAAGGTAGGAAGTCTAGAAGAGAATTATGCAGGAAACTTAGGGACAAATACTAAAAGATCAAGAAAGGGAACAAGGTTTGTAAGCCAGGAATAGAAGCTTTGCTCTCTCATACGGCATATTAGAGGATGTAGACACAGGAGAGATTTAGATAATAATTAAGATTGAGACTCCTGGCAAAACTTAAGTTCAAAATCTTTTGAGGCTCTCCCATCTTCACTGATTTCATTTTTTTGATGTGTAAACAAAACTCACTGGCCTGCCAGTCAAATAAATACTAATGGCAAAATTGGCTCTGTTTGACTTTTTGATAGTAAACATTTTAAATGCATTTCCCTACAAAAGGACACTCTAATCTAAATGGTACAATCTAAATTACACACTTCAAATAAAATGGGAGTTAGTGTCATAGGATGCACTAAAAGTTAAATCGCAAAATGGTTTTGAAAGGAAAGGTCTTGGCTTCAGAAAAGCATAAGAGCTACCTGAAGAATCAAAGATTGTATACTCTTGGCAGAGGATTTTAAGAAAAAAATTTCTTCATGAGTGGTGTGATGAATGTGTCAAACGGAAGAAGATTGAGTTAAAATAGTTTCAGGATCAGGACTAGAGGCAGGCCAGGCAAATAAAGGCACTTGCATGATGAAGTTTGGGCAAGGGAAATGATGAATAATTGAAGAGGAAGTTAATCTACACAGAAGAGAATGCAGCACATACACACAGGGAGGTAAAGCCGGGAACTCATGTAATCCCCAATGGTCATACAGAATGGACTGTGTTCTTCTCTTTCCAGTCTCCACTTTTGATTCCCAACACCAGGCTGTAATTCATGTCTTTGGGTGTCTAAAATTTCCACATATCCTTTCAGTTAACTATCTTTAGACTTAGGCTAGTTTAAGTAAGACTGATATTTTTCTCCTTGAAAAAGAACTGATCAAGTGAAACACCCAAGTTTTCCAGAGAAAGCAGGGTAGCCGATAACTATACAGATGGCTTGATCCATCATATGACACATTTCTTCAAAAATAATCTGAAGGATGTGTGAACAATGTTTTCCAATCATAGAGCTTTTCCATGTGCTAAACGACACATTTCCTAACTTCTTCTTTTCTCCGGTTCACCTTAATAAATTAATACATTTATATATTAGTCATTAGTTGAACAAATGTGTTTATTAGTGGAACAAACACTTACCAAATTCTGTCAGGCCCTGTTTTAGGGGCTGTGAGTTAAAAAAGTGAATGAAATATGCTCACTATCCTCAAGGATTTGCCATAGGAGGAACATACGTGTCTTAAAGGTAGGCTTGTGCAAGGAATGGAAACTTACTCAAATTAGACTAAAAGGAAAAGAGAAAATATTAGGAGGGTATCAGAACATTTCACAGTAAAGGTAGCAGATCTCACAGATAAGTAGAAACAGGAAATAGAGATAAGGAACTAAAGCAATCCCTCTCTCCCTCATTCTCTCTCTCTGTTTTCTACAAATAGCTGCAGACTGGCTTTCTCTGTTTTCTCTAAAGAAAATGGCTGCCCCAGGTAAACACAAATTCCTGGTCCATGAGGTCCACAAAGACTCTAGAATCTCTACCTTGATACAAACCTCAGGGAGAGAATGTGACCATTCCAGCCTGGGGCAGATGTCTCCCTGTATCCCCAGGAGACAGGGTTTTGTGACTCAGTGACTTCTCGAGGGGAGTCACGGGACACTCAGAATGACCTACAGATAGAGTTGGCACATTGCTTTGCACACCTGTCATGCACATGAGAACCAATAAGGATAATCAACCCTAGTCATGAGGTATGAATAGGGAGCTGGGAACATGAATTATTTGTTTTGCTTTTTTTATTGGAATTATCTCTTTTAGTTTTGGGTATTATGCAAAGCAACCCAGTGCTTGGAGACCTGTGTGTGAGTCAAGCTCAAAAGATTGTGAGCTTCACTCAGTGTTGTCATGGATTTACTGGGTAACATTTGAGGAGTCACTGATGACTTAATTTCATATTTTCCATGACTACTGTAGAATTTCACATTCACTATCCTTTTCAGGTGTGGGGAGAAGAATATGGAACTGTTTTCAAATTTGTTTCCATTTAGTAACTCTTTTTAGGAAATTATTTGCCAGGTACAGGACTAGACTCTTGTGACATAAACATAAAAGATTTCAGAGAACCAGCATTTAAGTGAAAAGGTGGAGTATACACATATAACTAAATTTAAGTCACCATAATACATAGAAGGGAAAGATTTTTTTTTTAACTGGGGGAGTCAGGAGCCAAAAACGAAGAATTGGTTCTGAAAAAAGGCGACAGGAAAGCCTCGTTGGTAATATCAAATTCGATTGGAGTCTTGAAGTAGAATCTTAAGAAAAGGAGAAAGCCATTCCAGGCAGAAAAGTTGCTAAGGAATTAGTAAAGAATGTGAGAGGAAGGTCAGTGAATAGGTGAATTTGGCCTACGTGTAGCTACTGCAAGAGGGAGAATGGTGAGAGAAACTTCAGAGGCAGGTTGGGGTTCAGTTGGGAGCTTAAATGCTAATGCACTTGAACTTTATCCTGTAGCCATCTGAAGATTTTCAGCAGACTGATTCTGCATTTTAGAAAGAGAACTGTGATGGTGGTATAAGAGTGGACTGGAGAAAGAGAGGTGGAAGCACACTGAGAGATTATTCAGGAGACTGCCATCAAAGGGGCTTGAACTAAAGAGAAGTAATGGAACAGAAAATAGATGACGTAGATCACCATGGTGGAGGGTAAAGACACCATCGGCATGGTGCGGTGGCCCTGAGGCCTGGTAGTGACCTGGAGATGAAGAGCAGAGGTTTCTGGGTAGTTGTGTAGTGGGAATGAAATAAACGAATTACACCTAGGCAGGATAGCTCCTAGGAAGATCAAGGCAGGAGTTTAACTATTTTGTCTCAGAAATTCTTCACACTTTTAAAATTAACATGGGGCACAGTTAGTCGTTTATTGCTTGAAATCTGAAATGTTTGCCTGTTGTATAAAAAATCTAGCTCCTAGTTTATCCTGTACCTCATGCCACCATAATGTTAATTGTGCTCCAGTTCTGAGCACAAAGCAAAGAAGGGTGCATTTTCCTCTCCTGCATCCAGAGACAAAGCACAGATTCCTGTCTCACATGAAGGGAACTATCCTACCTCCCAAACAAGGATCTGTTCCAAACACTTACTCACATTTCAGTGAGTCAGAAGGAAACAGACAGATATTCATCTGCCTGAAACCTGGCTGACTTCCCACAAGGAGTCTGAGGATAGTCAAGACTGGGTGTCAGGGTTAGTGAGTGGCCGCCTAAGAGCACTCAGGTGATATCTGGAATCTTAGTAAGCAGGTAAGTACCCAGAAAAAAATGCCTTCAAGGGTTTGTCAGGATTAGTAAGCAGACTAAGTTAAGTGACAGGTAAGAAAATAGGAAAGAACCAGAGGCTATACATTTTGGGGTCAAAGCTGCTGAGTTTATAGTCATGATTACAAGCAGCAGTATGTGATAAATACCAACTTAATACTTAAAACATTTGAGCCCCCCAGTCCTAGATAATGGAGAAGTAGAGCATTTGCTTTTGGCCAGTTAAGTCCTTCCCACCTTGAACCATTTACTTCCTGGTGACACTAACCCAAATATCCCATCTCTATAAACATATGGAATGGTGATAATCATAGTGACTAAACTAATAACTCCTCAAGTGTGATTTGTTAAACATTTGATTGCTTCACAAAAGTAGTCACTGGACAGATTTTAGTTTCAGCAACATGCTGGCATATTTGGGCAAACTTTTGGAGAAAACAATTCAGATTTAGAGAAAAGTGAATATCCTGTTTCTTAGATTGGCAAGTAAAAATCCTGGATATGGTTGTAGAATGTTCTCTTTAGATCTGAGACTGAAATAATGGAAGAATACGGTCACGGTGTAATACCAAGAGGAAGAGTCACAGGTTCATAAGTGGGCTCTCGTTCCTTGTGTTTTGTAGTAAACGTTCAAATTTAGTAATCAAATCAGCTCATAGTGTTGGAGAGGAATGAATGAGGATTTTTATCACACACACACACACACACACACACACACACACACACACACACACACACACAGTGCTGTTGCAGCAGGTCTTGGTTAAATATACCTCTGATAATCATAAGTTGTGAGCAGATCCTCTTTCCTGTCGAGTTAGTTTCTAACCTGGTCATTCCGAGCTTATTTTTGTCCCTTTCTCTACCCACTTAGGAAAGACAGCGAGAGTCGCGCATCGCGCAGCCCGTAGGAACCGAGGCTGAGGGCTCGCGGATCGCGCTGGCCCTCCCACCGCTGCCGGCAGCCGACGCTGCGAGGGCTGCAGAAGGCCATGGTGGTCCCGGGGACCCGGGGTGGCCTGCGGGCGGGCGTCGGGCTGGCAGGGGGCTGGGTAGTGATTGACTGGCTCTCTCCCGCCGGATGCCCGGCCAGACCCGTCCTGCGCAGGAAAGGCCCCCATGGCCCCCGGGATCGAGGAGGCTGGAGCCCGTGGGAGGTAAGGTGTGGCTTTCGCGGGCGTGGCGCAGCCCAGGTGCGGCCCACGGGCCTGCTCGCCGGGGCTCGGCGGGGCGGATCCGGTGTTGGCCGTGGCGGAGGGGCGGGACGGGGCGGGCTCTGGCGCCCCAGGAGCTGCCCGGCAACTTTTCCCAGCTCGCAGCCGGGCGGGAGAGAGAAGCCCTCGGGACGGCCTCGGGACCGTCTCCGGGTGCTTGGGTGCCTCTGCACACCTAGAAGAGCTACGTCCGCGGGACAGGCTCAAGATGCGGCCGGGACGGACAGGGGGCGCCCCGCTCCGGCTGGTGTTGGTGCTCAGCCAAGGTGAGCGAGGCGTTTGCTGCGCCTGGGCTGCGGGTCCCGGGGCGGGAGCGGGAAGTTAGGAGAGACGGGGGCCCAGGCGCGCGCGTCTCGGCTCCGATTCCACGAGGACCCAGGCTTCCAGGCATCCCAAGCGGGCGAGTCCCGGTTCCCGCTCTTCTCCGCCTGGTGTCCCCATAAGGCAGGTAGCACGCTGGAGAGTCGGCGGCGCGCGCTGCGGTGGTAGGCACTCACGCACGCGCACTCGCGCCTAGAGGGAGTGGAGCTCAACGGGTGTCCGGGAGGAGGAGGGTCCTGCAGCCCGGCTTAGGCAGGTGCCGCGCCAGACCCGCCCCTGGGGCTCTGGGGTTCGGGGGACTCGGGCCCTGCACGCAGCTGGCCCGTCCTCTGCGCGGTCCTTGGGGGCATTGCAGGACCCCTGGAGCCCAAATGCTTATTTTTTAACTCAAGCGTGTGAATAATGCCCCATCTCTACAGGGCGCAGCACTGATGTTTCTTCCCATAGGGGACATAGAAAAACCAAGCGCCTCTTAAATACTTGGCAGAGGGAAATTCTTCCTTCCCTTCTGCCTTCCTCTTATTGTTGTAACGTCGTCTGTTCAGCGAATGTAAACTTAGGCCAGGAAAAGTTCTTTCCACTGCCTTGATTTTAGCCGCCACAACGTAAGAACCCGAGCAGCAGCTCTAACTGCAGGGAGGTAAGAGCGTAGCCCACCAGCAGCCTGACTTCTTTTGCACTAAGTAGAGAAATGAGGCTGGGGGGTCCCGGGCTGCTGCGCGACCGTCCTCCCTCAGGAGTACTTCGACTAGACCCTACCCAGAGCCTAGTGTGTGCTTACTTTAAGAACTTTAGTTTACTTGGGGGAGGGGGAGTCACATTTGTATTTTGTCGTTTGAACAGCTATCAAAACAAAAAAATGGCCTGATTTTCAAGTGTTTTTACGAAGAAGATAAATATTTCCTAAGGTGTCCTCCTTCGAGGCATTTATTCAGCGATTTTTTGTTAGGGAAGAAACTAATCCAGCATTTTCCCTGGGTCAGAGATAACAGAGAAGTAGCCCCCCGCATGTCCCCAGCAGAGAGGAGGCATCATTAGGTTTCCTTTCTCACCCTGCATCTCCTGCCTCATACATATTCCCTCCTGGGACTCCAAGAATGTTTTAAGGGGCCATCAAACGCTAATCTGGGGGTTTCAGACAAAGTTGGATTCACATGAAAATCAGTCCCTGGAACACCACAACCTTCCCAAAAGCTAACAGACATTTAAATCCAAGCTTTTCATATCTCTTTAATTACCCATTAATAGCTGTAGAAACATAACATCATTTTCGTAACTGTGAAGTGTTGAGGCTTGTTTTTTAAAGAGCAGTGAGAAACACTTAAGTGGAATGTGTTGCTGCAAGGCATGAAGTCAGATACAGAGACATTAACTTGGAATTAGTCAGGGCAACTCAGTGCAAGCAAGCAGAAGTGATTTAAAATGACATCTGTACAAATATTTTGTATGTTTATTCCTCCTTCCTGCTCTAGAAAGAATACTCAGGAATACTTATATTTGCATACTCAAGGAATAGGTTTTCTCTTAATTTAGGATGTTCATAATAAATCTTTGTCATTTGTGATATCAATCAAGTTTCCTAGGGAAGCAGCATCATTTTTTGATACCATAAATACCCAAGATTAACATGAACAATTGAAATTTCCAAGTCAATGATAGATGAAATTCCTTATAGCATTAGTCTATCTGTATAAAATTTTTGACTATTCATTATTACTATACACACACATATATAATTGTTCATAAATTATATGCATGTACAATTATGTAATATAAACAACATACCAAAAATTTAAATGCGAAAGGCCTATGTGTGTGTGTTTATACATCTTGCATCCTTTCCAGCATACATGCCAACCACTGTGGAAACGACAAACCCTCAAATCTCATTTTGGCACCAAGATTCAAATTCACTTCCAATAAATACATTCAATAAATACATTCTCATGGGTATTTAAGAAAAAGCAGTGCTCATAGCTTAGTTCTGTATCTGTCACCATTCATTGGTCATTCCCTGGGTTAAGTGCTTCTAGTCACTGAAGTGGTAACCAGCAGGTTGAGGAGAAAAGAAAGACCATAAGAGGCCTAGATAATCCATACACTGAGTAATAGGTCCGCAGAGGAAGGGGAAATGTAATCTTAAAATGCACGGTGTCAATTACATTCTCTAGTGTGTTGCCAGGCCAAGGGTAGCCCGGGCTGCTGGGCCCTGGGCCTCATCTTCTCTGCTCTCTGGTACCCTTGCCTGGAGTCATCACTTCTTCAATGAGTATTTTCAAGTCCTCTCCCTAATTTCTCCTCAAGCTTTAAATATTCTAATCCTTTCTAAGTGAACAAGTCCTCCTTTTTATAGGTACTTTGGCAGCCCTTCATCCCAAACACCCTCCACCTCTGGCTGCTGCTCTCCTTTTGTGTCTTCTGCTTTCCTGGCTGTTCATAGTCTCCTCCACAGGCTCATCTATTTGGCCTGCTCCCTGTTGTGTTTATAGAGTTCCACCCTGGATCCTGCTCTTCATTCTACCAGTTCTCCCCTCAAGTCAGTATCTCCAGCCAGACTCCTCTGGTGAATCAGTATTTCCATCTATTCCCAAATACCTCCAACTAGATGTCGTACAAGCATGTCAAACTCAACATGCCCTCAACTGCAGACAACACCTGTCCTCTGAAATTTTCTACCATGTCATCTACTACTATTAATGGCAGATTATCTTTAATGACAGGAATGCCATTAATGCCTGTTAATAGCAGGAATCTTTTCCCATTTTCAGCCTCACAGCCAGTCTCCATGTTCTGTCCATCCTCCTCCCTAGTTCATGCAATTCTGCTACCTTCCAGTTCAGGCCCTCACATTTTCTTGTCTGGACTACCATAGTTTTTAAACTGGTTTTCCAGTTTTTGTCTCATCCCTCCAGTCCATTTTCCTCCTCATCACCAATGTTACCTTTCTAAACACTTACCTGTATTGAGTCAGTCCCCTGCTTCAAACATTTGTGTTTCCCCATCTCACAAAGGGGAAAGTCTAAATTTCTTTGGCATGCCAATAAGAAGTCTTTCACCATCTGGCTGCAGCCTTTCTATTCAGTCTTTACTACCTGCTCCTGCACACACATACACACAACCACACGCACTATACATATGCACGCACACAAAGCCCCCGCCCCAAAGCCATATACATACACCTATGTACACCCTCTGGATTCTTACTGCACCTGAGGATACCATATTGAGTCTTAGAATATCTTTGCATTCACTGCCTTGATGCTTTTTCCCTTTTTCTCTCATCCTTTTGCAACTCACCACTGTCATACGTTAAAAGAGACAGCCCCAAGTAAGATTATGAAAGGTTTTTCTTTTAGAAGAGAAAAGGAAGTTTGAGGTAATCGCTCATTTCTGGGACCCTCCCTGAACCCGTCTCTCCTGTCCTCTGAGCCCCAACAGCCTTGGGCCAATCTCTGATAAAGCAACGCCCTGCCCTCTCGGCTCTGCAGCCACACCTGCCCAAACTTGACTAAGCTTTGCTCTCACATACAGTGTACCAGCCACTGTTTGATTTGGATTCATGGATTGGGGCTCAGAATTCAGTATTTAAAAACAATTACAAATAGGTTTCTGATGTACAACCAGGTTTGGAAGCACTTCCTCTTTCCTAACAAATTAAAATTCCAATATTGCCTATAGCACCTTGTGAGATGACCACCAAGATAGGTAGATTTCAACATAGCAAGACAGCCAGTGCGTCAGTTCAAATGAATTCCCTCTAAACTGGATGCTGACTGCTCCTGTCTGAATGTGAGAACAGCCTCAGGCATATTAAAATGGAGAAGTTTATTAATGTAAAGGGATGAGCTTCTAATGTTAGAATTTAAGATATTCAGGAAGCTAAAGACAGACATTCAGTCAGCTTGTCAAAAATAAAGAATTTCAGGAAGACTGGGAGAAATATTTGGGACCCAAAGTACCATCCTGACACAATAAATGTTATCTGTAAAGTCACAGGCTTTAGTCTGGCCCCCCAGCCCCGCCTCGCTTGGGATAGTACTGAAAGATTCAGCACAGCATCAAGGAGAAAAAACATGGGAGGCTGTCTGTCATTCCAAGCAAGCCAAGGATATGGAAGCTTTTTCATTTGTTATGCTGACTAATGTTTTACCTGGAGGGACACATAGAAAGATGGCTGCCAAAAGAGCAGAATCGTCGTCCCACCCTTCTTGAGTCAACAACAGCTTCTGTGTATGCAAGTGGGGCCTGTGATGCCCTGCACATAAGCCACTGGCGCTCACTGATCTGGCTACAGTGAATTCCATAAAACTAGTATTTGACCCTATTTTTATGCAGTAACTGCTTTATGTAAGGCAACATGCTAGGCCCAGTGTGGAACCGTAGGAAATCTGAAGTAGTCCAGAGGGGTTGTAGTATATTTGCAAACAAGTCCAAACAGAAGGAAGGACCTTGTCTCCCCTGGAAGGTGCCTACCCAGTTTCTGACCTTCCATTCTCCTTTCTGACAGAAGTCCAGTTACTGGGGTACCCCCTCCTGTGCACAGCTAGGAGAGGCAGGGAATGGGGAGGGGTGATTGGACTGAGCCAGGCCTGGTGGTTCCATATAGCTCACTGGTGTCTGATTTAGAAATGGGCATGTAATGCAATTTTGCCAGTGAGATATGCACAGAGATGCTCAGGGACTTTTGGGAAAGAATTGTTCATTCTTATGAAAGATACTGGTTAAGAAACACATTTTCAGATTTAGATGGACCCTGGAACAGGTGGAGCCTTCTTGCAGCCATGCTGGTAGCTAGCTTGGGGATAAAGTCAAAACACTAACCTAGTGGAAATAATAGGAAGCAGGTCCTTGATATTGTCATTCCTTGAGTTTCTGAATTTGAAATTGAGAGCCATCAACTCTCAGTGTCTTAAAATATTTCCATGTGATTAAAAACTTGGTTATG